TCTGTGCCCTCAGAGCTGCTGCTCCCTCATGGCAGGAGGGTTTATATCTTTACAGCTCAGCCTCAGCCAGCACCTTTGTTCTTTAAAATCTCACCTTTTTTTCTGCTGGATTTAATGTTCTCTTTATTTATTTCAGATGGACAGCATGGCAGCTCCGCCTTCAGAAAGTTCCCTTTGCCAGAGGTGTCACAAGCCAGTCCTGGGAGCTGCTGTGGGGACACAGATGGATCCTCCACCCTCAGCATCCATGCCTGTGTCCATCCCCCCTCCTCCTCCTCCTCCTCTTCCTCCTCCTCCTCCTCCTCCTCCTCCTCCACCGCTGCCTGCACCCAAAGTGCCTCCAGCTCCTCTCCTCCTCCAACGGGGCACAGCCTCCAAGCTGGTAGGGAATCAGAGGGTTCCTCTGCTTTTTATTTCATGTCTGAGTTCCTTTTGGGCCTGGATTCCTCAGCACATCACTGTGAGTGATCACTCACTTTCCCTTCCTGACTTCCCCTTTGCCTTCAGGCAGCGCCAGTGAAAAAGGATGGGCCCATGCACATCACCCTCAAAGACCTCCTGAATGTTAAACTGAAGAAGACAAACAGCAGCCTGAGAATGGACAAGGTAAACTGGAGGGTGAATCAAGGGAAAATCCACCCTGGGAGTGCTGTATTTCCTGCTTTTTTTTGGTAAATTGATTCTCATCCAAACACCCAGTGGTCAGGTTCAAGTGACCATTCTAATTCTGCACCTGGGCTTTGGGAGGGAAGGAATAAAGTGACAAATTCCAATCTCACCTGGCACTCAGGACAACTCTGATTTTACATTAAGACCATAGAGCTTTCTATTTTATCAGTAGATTTTTTGACTCCTTTTGCCCAGCTGGAACTTTGTTTCCAAAAAAAAAAAAAAAAACCTCCTTAATTTCTTTTTGTTTTTTCCTAAAACTATTTTTATCCAAGGCACATTCAAATCTTAATAATTCAAAAAAAAGCATAAAAGCCATAAACCACAAAAAACTTTTGGGTTTATTAAATATTAAATGGATTTCAGGGTAGTGAGACCTTCTGAAGTTTTATTTGGGGTAACATTTCTCTCCTTGCTGTAGGAGCAATCACCAATGAAGCCACGCAGGGCATTAATTACAGTCACAGATCTACAGAGTGTTAATCTGAGACCTAAATCCAAGCCATCACCCCATGCTGCAACATCTTTAATGTAAGATGCTTTCTTCCTTGATTAGATATTAGATTCTTCTGTTTTAAACAGTGATTAACACTTTTTACTGAGTGGGAAACATTTCATTGTACCAATTTCTTTTTTTTTCTCTTAGTACCTCCCCTAAAAATCAGATTGATCTTCGGAAGCATCTGAAGAAAGTCGATATAGAAAGGTCTGTTCCTTTCTATTATCTTTAATTGTTTTTTTTTTTAATTTAGAAAAACTAGAGAACCAATCAAACGAATCATAATTGCCCTTTCAGAAGTCCTGGTGGCACTCCTCTGAATAGCAAAGAAAACACTGAATGTGGCTCTGGGCTGACCCCAATCATGACACGGGCACTGCGGCGCAAGTTCCAGGCAAGTCACTCTGTCCCTCTTCTTGGAATCATAAAAATCCCAGAATTCCTACTGATTTAAGGGCTCTGCAGAACGGACATGCCATTCTGGCAGGTTATTTGACAATCCCAAGAGGAAAAATTGCTTTTTTTGGTGGCCAATGGCGTGCCTCAATGCAACTTTCACTGTCATAGTTCCACTTTGCAGAAGAACACAATGTGAGGGTGAATTGCATCTTTTATTTTACTGATTTGTTGTGTCTGTTTTAAGGTGCCAGGTGAGAATTGCACTGTTTTATCTCAGTGATAATGAGCTCAGATATCCAAGTTGTGACCCTTCCCTTCTTTTGACAGATGGCTCACCCAAAGAGTCCCTCTCCTGCACGGCTGAGTGCTGCAAACAGCTTTGATGAAAAGTAAAAAGGAAAGTAGGTTTATGGAGCAATTTTCCATTTGTGGTCAGGAAGACGCTTGAATCCCATTTTTGTTACACTCAGGCACATGTGTTTGTAAGTAAATGTAGTGCACAGGAAAACAGGGCATTGTGAAACCCTGCAAAGCAGATTGTGCTTTTTATCTCTCTCTAATGTCTCTCAATTTGGTTGCATCTTTATTCATAATGGAAAAAAAAATAGGAAATTTCCCAAGTCTTTTGACACCTGGGTGCTGCTGAAGCAGGGACTATTATATTCCTAGCACTGGTGCTGCTTGTCATACAAATATGTATTTGCTGAAATTCAGTATTATTATATCTTTTTTAAACAAAAAATAACTTGACGGTATTTGTACAGTTTCAAAGAAAAAAACAACAGTTTAATGCACTAACGTTATTAAAGTGGAAAGCTGCAACCTTCAACAAAACAGTTGCTTTGTTTGGAGAGTGTGTGGCTACAAATGTGAGAGGACCTTGTACTGTGTATCACCGCTGGCTGATCGCGATTAAAAGGCTGCGCTGCTTAAAGGCGAGGAACTCAAGACTTCCTTCCAAGTCATGGGGTGGGCAGAGGTTGTGCCCGTACCGCGGTTTAGCTCACGACACAACCCAGGACCAGGGCAGAGTGGTGGCACAGCCCTGCCCGGCATCTGGGCACGGTGTCCCCGCTGCTCCCGGCTGTGAGGAGCCGACCCTGGGGAGCGATGGGGACCAGCAGTGCTCGGGGTCCTGTCACCCCCGGCTGTGCAGAGCCCACCCTCGATAGCGATGGGGNCGCATCCTTCCGTGGCTTCTCCGTGGCTTTTGTCACCGTTCTCCCCAAGCGTCGTTTTCCCCAAATTCCGTGCTTGGCACGCCAGCGTAACGAAAAACTGAACATCCGTTTATTTTTATTGTGCTTACATATCAATAGTTGCAATGTTTCTATTTAGTTGATAATACTTCTAATCACTTTCTTGTGTATTTACACTTATTTATAGTATTATTTATAATGTTTTTCATGTGTACTTATTTAACTATTCGTATTTTTATTATATTTATAATAACTATTAGTGCTATCTATGTTACAAATAGAAAAGGGCAGGAATAAGCCCATATAAAGTGACGCTTTCTGTGTGCAAACACATCCCTATGGATCATATGAAATTAAGGACATATTTTCTATCACTGGTCCATGATAATTCCACCAAGGCAGCTGTGAGTAACCTCTGGCTCGATTTCTGAGGTGCAGTCTGTGCTATTCTCTTTGGTGGCAGCTCTGTCCCAATGCATAATTTGATTTATCCCTCTACATCCATTTGCAATGTGTGTTTTTCCCCAGTAATGGCAAGGTACAAGAAATGCAAACGAAAACGAAGAGCCCGAGCCAAATTTCGAGTGGAAAAGAAGAGAAATGCTGCAACCCCCCAGGGCTCAGTTTGTCCCTCTCCACGGTAAGAGGCTCTGCTTGAATTTTGCCTTCTCACCCCATCCCTGGGTTTGTTTTGGCTCCCAATGGCTCATGGAAAGGAGGCAAAGATTTGTGCCAAGTCCATGGCACTCCATGGTATCTTTTGGTGTGACCTTGGAGATCTTTTACAACCTTAATGTTTCTATGATTAATAACCAGGAAAAGCAATTTGAATTAAAAAAAGTATTTCCAATAGGATTTCCCCCCTTTCTTTATTGAAATGTATCTTGGCTTTCTGTAATCACATTTTCTCTGTTGTTACCTGCTTGTAATTTCCACAGGTTTGGTCACAGTTACTTTATTAAAGGATGAATTATAAATAAAATTTATAAAAAAGGATGAATTATAAATAAAATAAATAAAATTCTGGCCTTGTTCTGTTGCAGGTCACCAGCTCCTCTCCCTCTGAACTCATCACCAGCCCCAAAATGCTCCCCCTGGCCTTTAGCCTTGCCCAGTGTAAAAAATGTGGTCAGACCCTTGACAACAGCAGCATCATTTCTGTACTGGTGGTGCCAGAGCAGGGTTACACAGGTATATGTAATACATATATTCTTTGATAATGGATTTTTCTGTTTTAGTGGGAAGTATTTCATTGTACCAATTTCTTCTGTTCTGTTAGTAGCCCTCCTAAAAATCAGGTTGATTTGAAGAAAATCACCACACAAACACACATAATCTGTTTCTTTTTATGCTTAGAGCTTTCAGGTGGTTAAAGACACCATATTCCCATCACAAGCCTACTTAAGGGAGCTAAATACCTTCAGGGAGAAGCTGGAGAAGTTGGAAAGTGAATTTGCCAAGCTACAAGGAGCCCTGCAGGTCAGTCTCAGTCCAGCTGGGGCAGGGCAATATTTGTTTGTGTGAGGATGAGG